ACACCGATAGCGACAAAAACTACAAATATAATCAACAACCACAACAACAACAATGCAGAATTTATTGACAAAAAACACAAAGCAGTTAACGAAAAGAAAAAGTAAGGTTAATAAAAAACGAAATTACATTCCACCAAAGCAGGCAGCAAGTAAGCAGCGCAACAGCGATTAATTGCTCAGTACGTGGGCGTGCGAGCGCTCGGCAGAGCAACCGTTTGTGCGGTAAAGTTGCAGGGGGGGTATGCAACGAGAAAGTCATTTACATAAATAATGAGGCAAGCTTTCGTTGCGCTCAAGAATTTCAAACAAGAATTTTTCGGTTTTATTAATAGCATTTTTTGGACAAGTTTTCGTTATACGCTGCGCATTTGTATTTTTCGTGTTTTTAATGGATTCTCGTTGGTGTTCTGTTTATTATTTCATATATATATTTGGTTGGTGATCATATTATTTTTCAGCTGCATTGGCAATGAAAAATCGAGGTATCGAAAAAAAAAAAACGTGTAAGAATCAAGCGAAACCATGCGGTGTTGCGTTCTTTCTTTCATTTCGCTCTCGCTTCATTTGGGCATAATTTTGTATTGTTGTCGTAATTACCTGGCTTTGATTTCACTTGGCGTGAAAATTATATAATTTTTAGAGTTTTTTTCCACACTCGATTTTTTATGACCTACAGCGGTGCGGCGCGCTTAAAGTCGAAATTCGATTTTAAGAAATTTACACAATGCTTATAAAAATTTCAATAATTTCAGTTGCTAATTATTGTACTTTTAATATACAGAGAAAAAGGTGTAAAGAGCTAAGATGTTCTGAGGAGAAGTATCTGCAGATCACGTCTAGATTATAATGTCGCAGAAATTATTGTACAATTTTGTTTATATTCAGCTGACCATCAGCTGACTTAGGTTGAGTTCGGATGCCGAGTTAAATGTCCCGGCCGTCTCTAGCTTAGAAATAAAAAATAGAATAAATTGCATAAAATTGTGTTGCTTTCTCACCTATTATGTGTCGCGATTTTCCGTGAATTATAATGTGAAAAAAACGATGACTAATAAAATCGCTACGAATTTCGCCAGGATAAATATGGTCACCTAAATTTATATGTTATATTTCATGATCTCACAAAAGTGAACGCAGTTCGGCTTGCAATCAGCAAACATTTTTTGGTGAAAATATATTACCTCAATAGACTTTAGGTAATTAAATAATATTTAAAGCGTGCTTGGGCCTTAAAGGCTCTTGCTATTCAATTATTTTACTTAGCAAAGCCGAAATATGATCACAAGCGTTGGCGATTACACTGATCGGTTTGTTGCGTTCGCACAGCCGTTGTATTATTTAATTAGCATTGCCGCTTGCTAAGTATATTCATTACAGTAGGCGTAAATCAACACTTGACGTAACAGAATGTTAATGTTAATTACCGCAGACAGCAGAGGTATTATGTTTAGAACGCTGCCAATTTTTTTTTTGGCTATTGCTTTTTCAAAGTCATTGTCAAAATAAATCGCTGACATATAGGCTGTTATTTTTCATAAATTGCTCATGGTACGCTTATTTTAAAGAGTGCTATAGCTTACGAGCATACACATATAATTATAGTAGATATAATATATATATATATATATATATATACATTTTAAGTAATTCCGTGATATTTTTGTTTTGAGTGATTTCGTTGTAGACCCATTTAGATCAAATTACCTCATTATCCACAAGTAACTGTGAAAAAATGCCAAGTAAATGACTTTTTGTGGGGTTTTTCTTATACAAAAGTAAACACATGCGAATTCTATAATTAAATACGCAAGCGCGAGAATATCCGTGTACAATTTATGTAAATGAAAAAATGCTAGCATTCAGGTTGCGAGCTCTAAAAATATGAGTAAAGCGCTTATCGTAGGAAAAGTGTGTAAGAAATTGTGGTAACTGGATTTCGCAATTGCTTGGGCAATTAAATGCAAAGCAAGCAAATAAATAAATACGCAAAATTATGTAATTACGATATTTATGCGCATTTTTAAAGAAAAATATTTATTGCTGAAATTGAAAGAAGGATAAAGGAAGTGGTACTTTTTGAAAAAATTAGACTTTTTGAAAAACGTATTAGCATAGTAGTAGCAAAATACTGCATACAACTGATTTGTCTCTGCTGAAGCTAAAAGTCGCAACCTAAATACCAATTAGAATTGCTAAGTCTACATTTTTAAAACGTAATATACCAGATTTCAGTGAAAGCAGCTAAGCGGACTAACTGTAAATTGAGAATAAAGTATTGTGAAATCTTGCGACGGCAAAATTTATTGAGCAAATATTTATTGAAGTTTGATAAACAGCTGACAGACTGCTGACAAATTGGAAAGTCATGCATGGTCAACAAATTTGCGCTTAACCTTGAAAAACTCTGTTGCGATTTTCTTGTGTGTTTACTTACAACATTTTATTGCTAATATATGTATATAACGGTGTACGTAGATTTGCTAGACGTTTCGTAGGCACAAGCGCGCAACGGCTTACGCAAGCAAATTTTATTGCGTTTTGAAGTTGATAGAGCCCACGTGTCATTCTAATCTTATCGCACAACAATCTAGATATTTGGTTAATTAATCGTGTTCAACAAGAGTTCGCTGAAAATTTGCATTTCATAAAAGCTGCTACAAGCGGTAAAATTTGAGTCCAAAAAAAAAAAATTTTTTTTTTATAAATTTTGCAGCCAAATATGCTTGACTTGTTTCACTGTGTGCAAGTAGTTGAGCATTTTTGAAACAATTTCGTGCTGAAAATTATGTTAAATGCAACGCTTACAGTGCTTTCGCTATAATTGAGAAATAGTAATTTTTTTTTTTTTTTTTTTTGGTGTTTGCAATGAGCCACCGCGAGCAACAATTTGCCGAAATCCAAACGAAACTAAAAATATGCGCCATTATTGCGGCTGGCGTCAATGCCTAAATAAATATTGGCAATACCTCAGACATTTACACTAACTTGTTGTTGTTGCTTAATTTCATGAACGCCACAACAGCAATGCATAAATATGCAAATGTGCATAAATAAATTCATTAATTTTATTGTGTGGTGCAATAAACCCATGTTTTTCTATTTTGCTCATAATCGCACATTTCCACGTACTCATACACACATGTACACATACTATTGCACAAAGGTGCTGTCTATACGCGTGTAATGTCTATGTGTGAACTGCACGTGATTTTCATTTTCTTTTACCACATACTCACCTGCTTGTGAGTAGATGTGTGTTGCTGCAGTTTTTCACGTCAAGTGTTAGACACATATACATACAAACATATATATATATATATATATATATACACACACAAACATGCATATGTGTAACAGCCAAGTCACTGGTCTGCCTGTGCGCCGTTTACTGTGATTGCGCTCGATCGGCGTAACAATTGCGTGGCATAGACAATTTTACTAATAAATATTAATTTTTCTATAAGATTTGTTTACATAATTTGCGCACTGAGCGCATCCGTTTAGACGTTTTTTGCTCATCAAATCAAGTCTAAGAAATTAGAAATGTTTGTCTTAGCTTAAGTTCTTTTGTTAGCATAAATAACGCAGTTGGTACACTACTGCTTCGTTAAGCAGTCTAATGCATTACAGTGCTTGCTAAGTAAGCAAGCATAAGCTGCGCGCTGAAAAAGTGTTGCTAATGCTGTACGCATCTGCGAAAGCTTATAGCATTACTAGTTTAATGAAATCGAGAAAAAATATTGGTGAAGAATCGAGAGCTTTTGAGTACGATTTGTGTAATTGTTAATAATCCGTATTCAGTTGAGCGCTGTTGATTGTAGTCTCGATCATGTTTCCATTTTCTGCAAGCCGTTTTCCTTTAAGCTTTTGCGAATATTGGCCACATTTGCTTCCTGACTGACGCACTATTCTAGAAACGTACAGTGCGTATAAAAATCTAAATTCTACTAATAATTTTAATTAAGATCTAAAGATAAAATATAACAGCCACGAGCAAATCATATTTCTCTAGATTATTTACGAATCTTTTGCAAATATTTTTTACGTTTTGTTTTTTATTCTTATGCTCATAACAGCGTATCTAAAGTTTGCCACAAAGTTTGTAACATTCAGCAGGTAACGTCGGCGATCCTAAAAATATATATGCAAATAAACAGCATGACGAGCTGAGTCGTTTTAGTTATATCTGTCTGTCTGTCTGTTCTTCCATATATACGCGAACTAATCGCTTAATTTTTGTTATATCGCTCTGAAATTTTGCACACGTCCTTTTCTCTCGTCGCTATCACGACAGCATAAAGCTAACATATAAACTGACCGTTCGAAAACAAGTTCGTATACTTTACTTATTTGTTCTATTTTTTTTACAAAAAATCTCCTCGAATTTAGGCATATATTAGATTGTCCAAGGTACCATTATAGTCGCTGAACATTTTTTTTTTCAGATATTATGACTATAGCATATAGCTGCCGCTCAAACTAACTGAACAAAATCAAAAAAAAAAAAACTTTTTTTCTTATTAAGTTACCTTAAAACTAATTGAAGATTGATTTTAGCAAGCAACTTTGCTAGAAAGTACCAGCAAAACGTATTGCGTTAGATGCAGTGAAAATTTCAGTATGTTTCACTCATAGAGCATAAAAACCGTGGAATTTAAACTTGGTTTATATAAAGTCAATATTTTACAAATACTGAAGAGTAGACTGGATAGCATATACATTTTAGGAACAGAGAAGTTTTGAGCATATTTGTAGTCTTATTTCATTTAAAAGTAACAAAATTATAGAAAAGATGCAGAAAAATAAAATAAAAATAATAAAATTTGAGTTGTTAAATATTGTTTTTGCTTAAATTACTTTAATTATAAAGGCAAATTAATTTTTCAACGCATTTTTGCTTTCTCACATATTTAACTGTTTAATGCAAGTTACAGTCTTTATATTATATTATATATGTATGCACACGTATTCGAGCAGAAATTACACGCGCTAGTATTTACCTTATTTACTATTTGACTGTAAGAAGTTTGGCAGCAACAATTGCTTATGTAACAACATTAAAGTTAGCAACAATACTAGACAGTTGATGCAATATCACACAATGTTCATAGACGAATTTTACACTATGGATCTTGGATCGCAATCACATTTGTTTTCAACGAGCATTAAAGCCTTTCGCACACACTAAACGGTATTTTTTTACTACCTAATACATAACTGTAAATATTTATTGCACACCGCGTTTGCTTGGTTCTAAACCAACAGCATAATTATGTATGTAATTATTCTCGTTAAAATTAACACTTTCTTGCTGAAGTCGCACTGCGCTTTCACTTAGACGTTGCATATATTTCATATAACTACTAATTTCTGATTATTTTCAACACTGATATCCGTATTCGCATTAGATTTTAACTAATTTTTATTGTGCACTTTACCAACCGACCGACCGATCGGACCGTCCGTTCTTATAGGTAATCGTTTGCTTGTTTCGACACTAGCCGCCTACTAAACCTTCAAATGCGCGCGCTTCTCAAAGACTGCAGCTCGCCGGCGTATTGCTGTCTACTTTTGTGGCGGCGGCGGCGGCGCCAACTTGCGACTACGCGAACGAGAACCGCGATCTATTCCGATCAGAACCGAACGTGCACGGCATGTCGTGCCGTTCGCTATTCCCCCCAAAAAGAAAAACAGCGAGCGCTCTTGTGTGTTTCGTGCGCACAGCTGTTTGAATCCGTTTGCTCAGTGGAGCAGTGGAGCTCCCAAAAAACATATAAACAAACCAGAAATTGCGCTGTTGGTTAGCTAGCAGCTGGTCGGATGTGCGTGTGTGTGTATTGGGCAGCGCGTTAACATCATAATCAGTTGAAATAATAACAACGTCGCTGCGCTCCTTTTGATGCAACTGCAATTGCCGGCAAGTGCAGTGAGAACAGTAGAGCTGCGCAACGCTGAGCAGCAGAATATAGACGCGCGAGTGAAATGAGATAATGCGCTTGGTGTCAGAGCGTAATACTAATACAGAAACGTTATCGGTGAGATGTCAAGTTTGCAACGAAGCTGGAGCGTGTGCAGCGGCATTGAAATGATTAGATGTTTGTCTTTGTTGTTGAATGTTGATGCTTATGTATGCTGCTGATTGTTTACATTTTAAGCCGCGGCGCGTCTGATAAGACTTCTCTTATTAGCAAGCGCAAAGGTAAACAACAAATGTCAAAGGGCAAGTAAAGCGGGGTGTTTGACGCGGTTGAGTTTCTTTTTGTGCCTTCTGATTGGTTTTTAGGAAAAGGCATATGTATATTGATAGTGCGTATAGCAGCTCACTCTGTCTTTTGGCATTGACAAATTCGGTCTAAATAACTGGCAGGGCTTACTTCAACCCCTAAAAGCTTTATACCATTATTTTTTTTAGAAAAAATATGAAGGCTTCAATTTCGAAAATATTGTTTATTTTAAGTAGAACGAAAAGCATATGGTGAATCAACCTTAAAACCACAACCCAACTATAACACAGTTATATAGTGGTGCACCCTTTTCCTTATCTCCTTGCCACTACTCGTTTTCATTGATAGCGTGCGGTTGCATTTTCAATCAGCTGGTCATAATAATCGAGTACCAGTTTTTTGTTGATAATTGTTGTTATATTGTTGTGTTGTGACTGCTTCAACGCCACTCCTTGGATGGCTGTGTGCCACAAGCTCGCATAAACGCTACTCCGGTGGCGCGCGATCATTGCGCAACTCTGCTCCAAACTCTCGATTTGCTCAACTGCTCTACTCTACTTTCGTGCTCCGCAATGCGCAACACTTCTCAGCACACATACTCGGATATATTGTATATGTATGTTATAGGTATGTATGGCAACATACTTATGTATGCAAGCGCAATGTGTGTATTGTTGTAATTACTATTCATTGGCCATGTCAGCGCGGCAATCACTTGCTATCAGGCACGCTGGTGGTCCTGCTTGCTGATGCTTCCTTTGCCTCCTTCACGTCAGGCGCCTACTCACGCATGAGCAAGAAATATGTGTGTGAACTGTTTCTTTGCAGTTTCAACTACTTTGTTTTGGTTTATATACGCTGCAACGCCGCCAATTAGGCTTGCTGCTCACGCGCAGCGCCAACACAGCGCGACAAATGCGCGCGCTGGTACACAATCAATGCCGCCGCCCCAATTGATTACACAATGTGTTGCGCCGTCGCGCCGCTGCGCCGATATAACTCCGACTCAATCATTGGCAATGTGGCAGCACTGCTTATCCTTTGCGCCTTACGACTTAATAAGTGATTATTATGCGCATTCGGCGCGCTGAATAAATAATTAAATTTCTACCGATCCCACAATTATCTCGGCGTCGTCGCTGCCATAGTGGCGTTCGCGATTGTCGCGTTGCTTTGCTGTTGCATTTACACTTGGTTGCTGTTGTGTTTGTTGTTGTTGTTGCTGTTATTGTTTGGTTGCAACGCGCCTCTTTGGGGATTACATATCGCTTGAGACAGAAGAAATAAAAATCAATTAGAGCAGTAGGTATCGCGCGTCAGCGCCAGCGGCAGCTGCAACAGCAACAACACCAGCAGCAATAATAGTCACAGTGGCAGGAATTAACGAAACATATTTTGTGTGTTGATCAGCAATTGAACTGGTGAACTGGTTTCCGTTGACAGACAGACGGACGGACAGATAGACAGCGCAGTGTTGGCGGCAGCGTTGGCATGTGTAACTTACACACACACACACGCATACATACATACATCTGCGCATATGCTGATTTTTTTGTTTTTTGCTTCAAGCTTTTAGCACAGCACAGCAGGAAACTGTGTATGTTCGTGCGCTTGTGTTTGTGTGTATGTAGGTTCATGCGTCTCCCATTTTCTCAAGGTCACTTTGGTAATTGTCATGTATGTAATTGTTTCAAGTTCAATTCCAAGTTCAATATGAATACGTGTTACAGTTTGTTATACTTACTACACATAGCCACACGCTTACACATATACAAACATACAAATATACATACTCCTGTATGCATAGTGGCAATCGAGACTTGTTAATAAGTTGCGTAGTAAGTTGACCTTGAAATTCTGGAATTGGCACTACGCATTACGCGTATCTGCTCGACTACACAACACTCTGCTGCGACGCTCCAAACAATTGGCAATTATGAGAAGTGGCCTAATTTAAATGGCTTCTGTTGTTGCCAGTGCCACAGGCAGCCGGGGGTGCGGGGGGTGTGTTGATATTATTTTGAAACTTGCTCACTTTCTAATTTAGTCGCACGACGTTGCTTTTGAGTTTGCTTTGAAAAAATTGTTGTTGTGAGTACCGCACGGAAGTCGCAGACTACTATATTTATGTATGATACATTTATTCCTTCTAAGATCTATTGATACATATTGCAAATTCAAGGTTATTAGTAATTCATTTTTAAGCTATTTCATAAACTTTAAAATTTTGTCTTATATTATTTTCATAGCACACACAAATACGATCTATTTGCGTGGTTCTTAAGTGAAAGCGTGCCTGACATTTTTTTTAAGCAATGTGCAACCCTCAAAGCAATATATTTTGACGCCGCCCAGCGCTTGATTCATTGGGTCAGAATTACATGCTTGAGTAATTCCGTATTAAAATTAATGTTGCGTTCTTTTGTTTCGCTTTTCGCATTTTTCATTATCTTCCCCTTGATTTTACATGCCATCCTGCACATATTCAATAATTTTATTACACGTTCCTTACTGGCGGGTGTTTATTTTATTAGCGTCACTTACAGCTCAACACAATTCGGCGACGCGTCGTAATTTTAAGCCGAGCGTGATCAGCGCATGTCGTAAGCAACAAAAAATGTAGTAGTAATAAAACAATAGTAATTGGACGCTAGCAGTGGAGTACAAAGTATGGATAGAGAAGTGTCTAAAGTTTGTGCTGAGTCGAGATTGTTGTACCCAGTGTTTATTTTTCAAAATTTCTCCTAAATATTTTCAAAAAAAATTGTGTCTATTACGCAAACTTTAAGACGAAAAATAGTTTTTTAAATATTAAGTATGTGATTGCGCCTAAATGTAGGCACTATTATATATTGAATGTTTTAGCTACGCGCCGATTCATTTATGACAACAGGGACAAACAATATCTAGATAGAAGAACACATCATCATATTGTTTCAATCATATAATTAGAACTATCACACTACCCACAAACTTACAGCACAGCATCTATTTTAATTTTCAACAACGAATCGTTGCCTACATTCAGGCGCAAGCGCATCACAACTTGGAAATCTCACACATTAAATTGGGTATGGGATAAATTTTAAATACTCTTGCAACATGTTGCAACCGAGTGTAATAATTGTGTTCACATAACGGTTGTTTGTATCATCTCAAACTAATCCAGATAGTTATAGGGTTATACTTGTATATATATAAATGATCAGTATGATGACCGTTTCCATAACAGTCGGGTCTACGTAACCGGAACGGACCCGGATTTTTTCCGGCCAAGGACTGTCAACTCGACAAAATTCTGCCGCTACAACAACAACAACATCAGTATGATGAGACGAGTTGAGTGCTGCTACCGAATATTTCATTCCGATCAACAGCAACCACACTTTTTTCAACAATGCTTCTGAGCCCTGTTGAATTGTGCATGGGGTATAAAACTTATAATATAAACATTCTGCTATGTCAGCAAATGTGTGTGTTTCTGTTCGAAGCCTCTCGCATTACGCTCGTAAAAATAATTTGCAATTCTTAATTGACGCGACTCTCCTCCGAAGAAGGCCGATCCCAGCAGCAACAGGCTGGATGTGCAAAATGTTGCTGCGATGACGTTTCTGATCTTGCCACTACTGCTGCTACTACGCTCCTACATGCATGAGTGTTGCACTTGTCGTTTTGACTTTTTTGTTGTTGTTCCTAGCTGATTTAGTCGTTATTTGCAAATAAGTGAAGCAGCATTTCTTGCTTATTATAAGGGATCTCCGACGCGCATTGTTGTTGCAGATTGCAGTTTGCAGCTGCTAAGAACTTGTTGCGCTGGCAGCGGTGCCTGTGGCGCGGCGCAGGGGGAAGAGACTGAGATTATGAGTAGTGAATGAGTGCTCTATTAGCAGATGAAACAAAAAATGGGCTACAACAACAAGAGCAAAGCCGCAAACACAACTCCGCACTGACAGCAGATGCTGCGCTTGTGGAGGTGTGGCGAAGTGGCGCAGCGCTGGAAATGTGCCGCTGTTTAACTCGGCCACTCGAACACGACACAGCGACGGCGCGTACGTAGCGTGTGTTGTTGGGAGCTGTGAGAGAGTGCGAAAAGTGGTACGCGCTAAAAAAGTGAACCATAAAAATGTGTGTATATTTGCTATAACTGTGTGGGTTTGTACATGCTGTGTTTGTGTGATGAGCGTGTTTTTCCTTGTGTAACGTGTGTGTGCGCGCATTTGCAAAGGATTTGTTTGGCTTAATAATTTAATTAGCTCTTTATTGAAATGATGAATGAAAGGGTCGGCAGAGGCATATAGGATTGCTGTATATGTCTGTATGTGTGTGTTGCACACTTATGTGCTTATGTAAGCAGTCAGAAAATGATTTTTGTGAGTGCACACAATGCATAACTGTGGAGACTTGAAAAAAGTGTAAGAAAATAATTGCTGATGTCTCTCTAATGAAATGCTGGGCTTCGCACGCGCATTTCACTATTTTAATATTTTAATAGCTGTCTAAATTTATAAA